ACCGGTTTGGCTCAGTGGATAGAGCATCGGCTGCGGACTGAAGGGTCCCAGGTTCGATTCTGGTCAAGGGCATGTGCCTTGGTTGCAGGCACATCCCCAGTGGGGGGTGTGCAGGAGGCTGATCGATGTTTCTCTCTCATCGATGTTCCTAACTCTCTCTCCCTTCCTCTCTGTAAAAAATCAATAAAATATATTTTTAAAAATTCAAAATAAATAAATAAAAGAATGAGGTAGATCTCTGTGTATTGTTAAGGGAATGCTCTCTTAGCTACATTACTAAAGGAAAAAAGGTGTAGAAGAGTGTTCATAGTATGCTACTATCTGTATTTAAAATAAGGAGGAAATGTATAGTCATGTATGTATGACTGAGTTTGAATAATATCTTTGGAAGAGTAATCAAAGAACTGGGATAGTGGTTACCTCTGGGAATGAGAAATGGGAGACTGGAATCAGAGGCAGGAGGATGCCTTCTTTTCACCATTTACTATTTGAAATAAAAAAAAAACCATCCACATGTTTTTATTTCCTTAAAAACATACAAAGCTAAAAGAAAAAAGGCATTGTTTCTCACAATGTGTGCTAATTCAAAATCCCGATTTCATGGATTCTTCCTGGGACTACTGAATTGGAATCTGGGCAGGGAGAGCCTGGGACTCTGTTTTCCTTTTGCATTCCAGAGGATTCTGATTCACCCGAAGTTTGAGATCCATGGGCCAAGAGCTCAGAGGTCAAGGAGCAGGTTCATGGGAGTCGGGGATGTGACAAAGACCAGGGGGTGGAGGGGGGGCTACTGTGGAGAGGTAGGCAAGGTCATTGGCATTTTGGCAGCGCTTAAAGCAGTGGTTCTCAACCTTCTGGCCCTTTAAATACAGTTCCTCATGTTGTGACCCAACCATAAAATTATTTTCATTGCTACTTCATAACTGTAATGTTTCTACTGTTATGAATCATAATGTAAATATCTGATATGCAGGATGGTCTTAGGCGACCCCTGTGAAAGGGTCGTTCGACTACCAAAGGGGTCTCGACCCACAGGTTGAGAACCCCTGGCTTAAAGCCTGTGGGTAAATAATGACTTGATTAGGTGTTATGAGCTGTAATCAGCTTGTATGGGCTGTCCTATCTGCCTTACCAGCCGCATCTGGAGCTACTTTGCTTGTGGCTCTTTGTCGTGGTCCATCTGGCCTTCCAGGCCCTGAATAAGCTGTTCCGTTTTGCCTTCACACGTGGTGTTGTCATTGCCTGGAATGTGGACCTCCCCCTGGTGTTTCAGTTCTCTGCTCAAAGGTCACTTCCTCCAGGAAACTTCCCCAAGCCCCAGTCTAGGTCAGAGCTCCCTGTCACGTGTTCTTACAGCTCCTGTACTCCCTTGGAGCACAGATACTGTAATTAAATGATTAGGGAGTGATTGAATGTTTGGTTAGGTCACTCCTATGTCCCTGTGCTATGCCTGGCACATAATAGGGACTTAAAATCGAGACTATTCATGGGATGAATGAGCCTTAAAGAGGAAAAGGAGAGAAAGTCTGTGCTACAGGAGCGGAGTGGGTGGTGGAGGGAAGGAATGTCAGTGGGGTGTTACTCTCTCCAGCTCAGCCTCCGGTTTTGGCCAAGCCTCAGGGAGTCTCTGATGAACATCAGAGTTGGATGTTGCTGCTCGGACTTGCCCACGGCAGCATGACTCTCTGGCTGCCTAAAGCCTTGGCTTCCATGTCCGAATGTAAGTCCCAGGCTCACGAGAGTGTGACGTCTGTCTGGCGAGCTGCCGCTGAGCCCC